GCCCCTTAGTTCCAGTGAAAGGAACTCTTAATGCCTCAGCATACCAAGACATTTTGGACAATTTCATGCTCCCAACTTTGCGGGAACAGTTTGGGGATGGCCGTTCCTGTTCCACCAGTGCACAAAGCAAGGTCCATAAAGGCATGGATGAGTGAGTTTGGTGTGGAAGAACTTGACTGGCCTGCACAGAGTCCTGACCTCAACCCGATAGAACAACTTTGGGATGAATTAGAGCGGAGACTGTGATCCAGGCCTTCTCGTCCAATATCAGTGTCTGACCTCACAAATGCGCTTCTGGAAGAATGGTCAAAAATTCCCATTAACACACTCCTAAACCTTGCGGACAGCCTTCCCAGAAGAGTTGAAGCTGTTATAGCTGCAAAGGGTGGACCAACGTCATATTAAACCCTATGGATTAAGAATCGGTTGTTACTCAGGTTGATTTGCATGTGAAGGCAGGCGAGCGAATACTTTTGGCAATATAGTGTATATAGGCCCATAATGACTTAACCTCCTCCATCATATTAGAACTATACCCTAAAATCACTGACACAACTGGCAAGCACTATTTCTTCATTGAGCGATAGCACATCATCCTATCAAAAAGTTAAAAAAAATAAATACATAAAAATAAAACCAAAAAATTAAAAGTAGCATTTAAAACATCACTGAGATGATTTAATTAAGTTGTCTCGGCCTACGGACAAATGCGATGCTGAAGATAACCAGCAGATGGAGACAAACTGCAACAAATGAAAAAAAGGTACCCTCGGCATGTTGCCTGGTTCCATCGTCACAGTGGCTGAACAAGTGAAGAAATCATGAATCATCTGTGAAGGCCTTGAGTCGAAGCTTAGTTTGTTTATTATAGGCGACATATTTGTTTGCCCTGTTGCCTACACTCGTCTATTTGGAGAAGGTGATATTCGACTGAAACATAAATTTGTTTTTGAAGTAACGTTGCAGAACTGGTTGCCTAATTTTGGGGGGCTTAAACGTTTGCTAGCTAAACCCACCGCTAAACTTATAAACACGTTTGTGAAAGATGGCTGACAACGGAACACACCCGGCAGAAGAGGACCCAGCCGCAGCTTTCTTAGCTCAACAGGAGAGTGAGATAGCGGGGATAGAGAACGACGGCGAGGGATTTGAGGCGCTGGAAGGGCCGGATGGCCAGCAACCTTTTCAGCCGCAGCCAGCTAACTATGGTATGGCAAGTTTGTCCCTGCGCTTACGCCAGTATCGGCTAGCAAGCAGACTAGCTAACTAAACCTAGCTAATATGCCCACCGGTACTTGGACAGGACTGATAACAGTTAGCGAACAATGCCCCCATCCCCTATCAATAACAACATCACTAGTTCATTTAGTAAGATTGTGTAGCAGTTTCTTAACACTGGCTAACCTGCTCATATACAACTTAGGCTAATGAAACGTTAGCCGTGTAGCTCTTAGCTAGATGACCGTAGTACGTTTGTTTTACACTGACAACGTTGCTACGTTAGTCATTACACAGCGCATCCTCCTTACGTTGAAACCCAGAAATTTCAAGCGGTCTGGCATCCTACCAACGCAGATTACAACTAAAGGAGTACACAATTTACAGTAACTTTATTTGATAGTAATGGAAATGCACTATATTGCGTTACCTTTTTTCACTGTCCCGAAAAATTACGTTTCATTAGCTGTCAAAACTGTACAAACAACGTCAGTGGCCAAACAGGTACTACTGCATTTCTGAAGTCTTTCACTCACAGAGATCAGTAGTTAGCTACTTAGCGACCTTACGTTAACCCACTTGGAAACTGTACACCTGCAAGAAGCCCATCTTAACATAAAACCTTTTCTCACAATGTTAGACGGTTTCGGAGAGGAGCCTATCACACTGAACGGGGATATATTTCAGGTGAGTTTAACGGCTATCTTCAACCTCTTTCTCACATATCATCTGTCTATCTCCTCTTTGTGTGTGGAGTTGTGATTTAATTTCCCTCTAGTTCTTTTGTTTTGGAATTCCTGTATATTATGATGTGATGGATTTACCATCTACATAGTATTTGTATAAAGTAGCAATTCTACAATGAAGCATATATTTTCAAAAGGAGTCCAATGGCCCAACAGACAACTATGCAGCCATCGCCCAAGTGGATATTCAGAGACAAGAGCCAGAGAGTTTACGCAAGTGGAGGGAGGAGCAGAAGACACGCCTTGAAGCATTGGGTGAGTAATATCAATGTTTGCACTGAGTATTAATCATAGTATATAGTGCACTAATGTGATGAATCTGTCATTTTGCATTCTTGTCTGACCTTTTCATTTCTGTTAGCATTTCCTTGACTACTCCGTTGTTTGCTTTTGCACCCTAACAAGACTCAGCATCCAAGGCAGCAGAGGCAGAGTGGAGAGAGAAAGCCAAAAAGGAGTTGGAGGACTGGCATGTACACCAGAATGAGCAGATGGAGAAAAACAAGGTCAACAACAGGTGAGTGGCTGACATGTCCCCTGTTAGCATCCAGAGCAGTAACAGTTGGTTTATCATTCTGATGCGATGATGTTGTAAACGCTACACTGAACACAGTCAATTCACTGTAACAACTCCCAAGTTTTGTACTGGCAGATTGTGATTTTCCTCAGTAGAAATCATTCAAAATTGTATTTTTTACTTTGCATATCAAATCAGTCAGGGCACCGCATGGTGACAGAGACAGTATACTAACTACACTTTATCATCCTATGCTTAAATTCTGTAAACTGCTCAATGAGCAATGTAAACAGTTGAACCACTGATGATGGACTTAATGCACTCATCATTCTCACGTTATCATATATATATATAATGCAAGTTCTTAATTTAACGTGTTGGACGCTAGATGACAATTTAATTAAAAGATGTGGTATTCCCCCCCTTTTTCATGAGTACCAACCAGCAAATAGCACTTTTTGTTGTTGTTTCATATTTTAACATGCAGTGCATAATACATAGCATAATGGATATTACAACAGTGTCATTGAGTTATCACCAGTTTATATGCATATTTTTTTTACTTTTGGTAAAATATCTGTATTATGAGAGAAGCCAAAGAGTGTAAATTAAACAGAAAATGATTGGCAAGGGGCACGATAAGGGATTTGGTCATGAAACTTTACGAACCTGGTCTTGTTCACAAACTTGGAACTGAAAAAGAAACCAGTTATCTGAACCCATCCCTAGTTATTTTAGTTTGGCTGCAGTCAATGTTGTATTTTATGCTCTCAAAAATATTGCAGCATTTCCTTTTCACAAACAAACTTACCTGTTTCTCTCTCACACTTTCCAACAGACTCTGTCATAGTCTGGCATGGTATCACCCTGCATTTGTGGCTCTAGTTTTTTCTCTGTCTCTGTGTCTGTGAAAGCACTGACAGACAATCCTCTAATGAGATCTCACTCTAGATCGCACACGCTGTGTGCCCAGTTAAATATCTGGGAAAACAAACAGGAAGTGAGCTAACTGGAAGGAATGCAAACAGTGCAGAGCAAATGTCAGTTTCCATCCATGCTACAGTCTTTGTATTTGTATTTGAAATGCTTTTGCCATTCCAGTCTTATTTATTAGGCACAGTAGGAGAGAGAAACTGTATTTAAATCTTAGACAGTTTTAAACATTTACCATTTTCATTTCACTTTAAGTTTCTCAGTCGCTTACATAATCTTTCTACTGCGGATGCTAACGTTTCTCTGCCTGTTGTTTGACACTGAAACTGTTCTCTTCTCCTTTTTTTCCCTGCTTTCTTGGCCTTGCCTGCGTACTAGGATTGCTGACAAGGCTTTCTACAAACAGCCCAACTCTGATGTTATAGGCTTTGTGTAGGTTTAGAATTCTTGCGCTTTTTTAATGTTTGCCCAACCCCATGAATTAGTACTATCTGACTTTCCACCTGATGCATGCCCCAGCACTAAAATTAACAGTCTGTTTTTGAAGGCCTAATTTAGTACTTGTATTTTTGATTGTTAGACAGGCCATAGGTTGTAATAAATATTAGTCATTGTCTCCAACAATGTGTATAATTTATTTTTAAAAAATGCATGAAGTCATTGTGTATCCTTGGCTCAGACAGTTTACTCTAATGGAAATGGTTCTGAAATCCCTCTAATATTGCAATTCATTCTTATCTTTCTGTGGTCTTCCCTCCCACCTGTAGAGCGTCGGAGGAGGCTTTTCTGGCAGAGACCGATGGCGAAAGCCCAGGAACTGAATGGGAGAGAGTAGCCCGTCTCTGTGACTTCAATCCAAAAACCAACAAACAGGCAAAGGATGTTTCTCGAATGCGTTCGGTCCTCATCTCTCTCAAACAGATGCCTCTAGTTCGCTAGAAGAGGTGGCTGGGAGAATTTTATTCTAGAAAACATTGCCTTTTCAGTTTTAACTCACGTCGCATCAGAAGAGCTTGTATTCCCTTTTCCTGGTATGTTTATAACCTTTGAAAACTTCCTGCCTTTCTTGATGCCTATTATACTGAAATAATCTGCTTAGTCTCACTCTCTGGTAAGAAGACGGACTGCTCTATTGTTACAACATCCCTTAGTCGGTCAGTTTTATCACTGCTATAATCAAGAATATATTGTTCCTGTAAGTTAATCATTTTCCTTCCCCTTTAACTTATAAATTATTAGGTCAACTTTGTTGCATGCCTCTGCCAATACCTTGGATGCATCATTTTTTAGTTTCATAAATTTGCATTTTGGTTGATAAACAGTTACTTATTAAGCACTATTAAGGATTAGATTGTAACCATTTATGACTGGCAACAGTGTCGAATTCTAAACACACATTCTTGGTTCACCTTTGTTGTATTGTATCCCAAATTACCATATTTACTGTAGCTAGCATATTTACAAGCTTGTGGCCTTTTTGATCTAGCTCTGACTCCATTTTGACTATTAAGCCAGATGGTGTTCCTCTTCAATTAGGCTAGTTTAAGAAAAAAAATAACAACCAAAGATTTCAGTTATCATCTAAATTTTAACTGGTTTTATGGACCATGTTGGTATTGCACCAATGTTTTAAGATTTTGGATCAATGTGTTTGTTTCACATGTTGCCTATTGGGACATTATGAATGCTGAAAAAAGTGAATGTTAAAAGGGAACTGGAAAATAAAAACAATGGAGTCTGATCATCTAAATTAGTTTGTCCTTAAATATTTTCCAGGTAGACTGGTACTATCAAAATGGCCTGGAGATAAATCACTTGAGTTCCAGCTGATAAAGTTCAAGTGTGAGGAGATGAAGGTTCCTACTCCCATGCCCACAACTCTGAGGGTTGTGCTTCTGTGAAACCAATGCATCTGAGGCATTTACACACACTCTTTAGCTTTCAGATGTTGAAAACACAACAATGGGCCTCATTCACCAACTGTTAAGAGCAAATTTTAAAAATGTTTTTGTGAAGATTCAGGCATTAACTATGTTTTCCAGTTCACCCACTCAAGATTATGCACATTTATGTGAAATAATTGGTTTCCTATAATTCTGACAGAAGATTATAATTACAATAACATTTTTCATTTTTTTTTATAATTTCCATTTATTTAACAAAGTCAGATATTGTGGTGTTTTTATTTAAATACACACTACATCTAATATACTAAGCAATTAATTGCTTGTTTATAAATTAATGCATTAAAATTAATTAGTTCTACAATGTGCTTATTCCTCTGATGTTGGGCAGCTGGACGGGACCGGGTGCACACATGGAGGTGAGCCTGTCCTCCACTGATCAGCGTCCCTGTTCTATGTTTGGTTGTCTCACAATTGAGTTACTTAAGTTTGTGCCCTTTTCATTGAATGTGCATATTTTTATGATGAGATTGGGCCTGTTGTTGGTTATCCTCCTCCCTGTTACTGTGTATCTACTCAGCCAGGCCATTAATATAAAAACTGTTAATAAACATCACCAGTGATTTTTTTTTAATTACTTGTTTAATAATAAAGATTATAGGTGACCCCTGAATCCAGTTGTATGATTTTTCTTATCTCACACTCACCTAGTTTAAATTAAGTTTACATCTCAAAATACATTCAAGTGTGATATATAGTTTTAGTGACAGTATATGAGATAAGTGAAAAACTTACTTTGGAGAAGAGCAAGTAACTATTCTACATTTAGATCCCACTGTATAATTAAAATAAAATTCACCTTGCTCACTTAACCTGGTGAAGAAGATGCTTAGTTTTTCTAAGACAAATATGTCAGCATGAGAAATTCAGTTTTCAAACAATAAATAAATGTAGGCCTTAACACAGGTATCTGAATAATGCTGAAAACAATATACGTTTTTAGAACATTCTGATAGAAAGATCAGTCCAAGTCCAAGTTTTGTCTGGGCTGATTCCAGATGAATGAAGGATGGCAGAGGTGTGTGGGACTGATCTATGTTCACTGCTTGGCTTTCAGAGCTGTGGCAAAGACACCGACGACTAGGGCAACTACAGTGAAGCCCTGAGCAAAGATACGAGTCCGCATCAACAGCTGGGACTGCCTGGTTTTCCCTTGATGGAAGGCACGGAGCCCGTACATCAGTGCTCCCGCTGTTGCCAAACACCCTGGAGAACAAACAACAAAGCATGACTTGCAGACGGGATTTAAAAACAATACACAAGTAAACAGGTTGACCTTCATCACAAACATGTACTGAAATGGTAATTTAACTCGCGGAACAGTGCACACAGCGGCGGTGAACTGACGCGCGTCAAAAGCATAAAATACTGAAGCACGTCCCTTTTCGGCACTGAATTCGCACCGCTCCCGGTGTGTTACGTGCCGCGCGTCACATGAAGTGGTGCCTAAAGACGCCAAACATTACTTCGTTGTCATCTGATACAATAAAACGTATTTCCGTAACGGATAAAAAGAATAGAGTGTACCAAAG